AGAATGGAAAAGGGACGGTGGCATCGAATATGAAACTGTCACATGTCATTTTTAAGCTACCCTCTTTGAAATCTCTAAAAAAAATCTACTCGGAATGTTTGACATTACAGTGTGCTGTGACTGCAATTGCCAACTTAGCTGGATTTGTACACTTTAGAATTGACGCACTCACAAGCCCATATGCATGTACGTATTTGTGCCATCCAACATATGAAAGTGGCAAAATTTATATGAAATACGAAAATGTCCTTTGATTTGCTTTGTTTGTTGGCTTGTCAAGTGGAAACCCCTAGACCTTCGCAATGGCGACAAGTGTTTGAAATCGTCCGAGCAATTCTACGAATTTTATGATTATATCCATTTTGATACTTTCCTTTTCAATATAATACTATATGTAACGATTTAGTTTGAACCTTTTTCGACAATTGTTGCAAAGTCACAGCCACAAAATTGTTATTTCCATTGTGTGGCTGCCCTCCCAGCCTTGCAGTTAAAGGGAATACTTCTGCATTTTGATTGCCTCACGCTATTTCTAATATTTCTATTATTCGGTTTGATTTTAGTTGTTTCGTGTTATTTTGTAAAATTACTCGAGCAACGAATTATGCGATAAACGTTTCAAAAACATAAAGTCCTGCGGTTAAACCAAACATACACACATATGTACGTGTATTTATAAAGCGAGAAATAAAAATAAAGTTTGCTAGTTATTCCAGATCATCGTCGAGCGACGACGTTGGGAAGAGGCATTTTGCAGCTGGTCACGCTTTGATAAGCCTATTTAATATTATTATTGAAAGGTTGTAACGCCATTCAAGTATAGCTAATACTTTTTATGCTGAGTTTGGTCGTTTTGTTCAAACTAATCGACACCATTCAATTGAAATTGACCGGAAGAGTCGTCAAATTATGCTGACTTGGACTTTTTAACCCTTATAAGTAAGCTATAAAAAAAAATTATTATATTTGTGAGTACCTTCATTTAAGTTTTCACACAATTCCAATTATGTGGAACGTAACCAACAGCGTTAATTCGGTTACGAAGAAAGATATTTTTTTGTTAAGCACAAATTTTATGGGACCACCTTTTCATATACATACATATGTATGTGTATTTAGTGTTTAAAAAAAAAAATGGAAAAACAACAAAGTCTAAGCGGTAGAAGTTATACATAGCTGCTATATTCCATTTTTCATAACAAATAAAATTGTGGTACAAAGCTCAATAACACTATTGAAAGAAATATTAATGCACCACAATAAAATTGACCACCTCTGTTTTAATTGAAAATTCTTAAAAATAAATAAACAAATATTCGTGGAAATTTATCACTTTGAAATGGCGTGATATTGATATGACCCATACTTAACGCTAGTATCTATACTTTTTTTTGGCAGTACAATACTTTGTTTTGGATTCAAGAAATTGATACTGCGATTGTTTCCTAAATACTGCATTTATTCTTTTTTCTGCCCAAATTTTTTTAATACACAGTGTTCGTGGAAATACGTAATAAAAATGCATATACATACATATATACTCTTATGTAAAAAATACGGGCACGACATCTTGACCTATTTTGACTATTTTCCTTTTGTTTTTTTAATGTCTATCAATTTTTTATTAAACACTTGTTAATTATATAATATTTAACATCATATCAATCGACACAGCAAACTTTGTAGAAAAATTAAAATAATTTAACAAAAATTTATTTTTAAATTCCAGGTTTGCAGTTTTGTAGCTTTAAACAAGTTTCATAGACTAACAATTCGCGTTAAGTTTAGCATATAAAGCATATAAAGCAAATTTTCGATCATAGTAACTTTATAAACTAGAATTTTGTTTTAGTGCAACTTTTTGAATTCCTCTAGCTATTATACAAAGTGAGAAATTTGGAATTACATGGCTTTTCTTAGACATAAACTGGAATTCCTTTATTTAATTGGAAAACAGTTAAAAAAACGGTGCTGTAAAAAATGCTTTTGTTCTTAAATGGAGTTACTGCGAACGGTATTTTTTTGCAGTAATGTGCAGTTTTTTCCCAAAAAGATACGAGCGATACCCGTACTCTATGAGAGTAAGAAATATAGGGAACATTCTTTGCCAAGCCGCCCCACCTCTCCATTTTTGATTTGATTTGAACAATTCGAATTCTTCTGGGAAAATTATCTTAAATGGCGATGAGCGTTTTTTTAAATTCAGGATTGCGGTTTAACTATGGCGTCTAAAGAAACTTTAAATTAGATTTCCCTTTACAACTTTTGTGACTCTGGAGAACTCAACACTAAACAAGAAAACCTAAACGTGGCTGTTTATAGTTTTAGGGCTTCTGATTATTACGAGTCTGGGCCGAATTTTAAAAATTCAAAATGGCGGGCTCAATATTTGGAGCCAAAAAATTAGTTTGGATTAGATTCGCTTTAAGCTTTCTAATCGGGGTTTTTGATGTCGCTGATCACTTTTATGAAATCAGTGTTTACAAATTCGAAATGCCGGATCCAATATTAGTTAAAATCCAACGTACGTAAACGGCGTACGAGTTACATTCTCATCTCGACTGATGACTTCTAGAGGGCTTTGATTTCCTCCCTGACCAGACAGAGTACTGCGCCTTCAAAATGATTCCCAGCAGCTCCATCTCTACCTATATTCCGGCACGAGCGGACTAGATGGGGCGAGGTGATTGGAGGAAGGGAGCAGTGAACTTCTTCACGAATGAATCAATATTTGTAGGCAGAGCTTGTGGAGGTGTTTTTGCTGGGCGCTCTCCATCTGCACTTCTGCAGTGTCGTCTAAGTGGTAAAGAATCGTTACATTGAGTTCAATGGATCGAAAACTCAATAGATACACTGAAAAAAAATCAACCAAAAATTTGTAAGTATTATCAAATTCAAATTTGAAAAGGAATCCAAGTGATTTTTTTTAAGTCTGAAGTAGCCATTTTTGAGATCAACAATTGTCTCAAAAGAGTCCAAAATGTTCCTCATTTGACTCAATTGATGTATGAGTTTAAGCTCATATAGGTTGTCCTTTGGATGAAGGCCAATACCCCAATTTCGGACTCTTAAATTAGCTCTTTATGGGTAGGTGGTAGACACATATTTGCTTTTCGTGCGGAAACTTCAAAGGATTTTAGCATGTACGAATTATACAATATGAAGCATGGTATAAGGGGTTATGCTACATCATTACCTTAAAAATGCAATTTTTTGTATTGTGACAGATAACGAGTGATATGTAGATGTACTTTACTTTAATAGTGTCATCACTCAAACAAGTAAAACCCGAGAAAAACGGCTTTAAAGTTTTGAATTTACTCCCATAGTAAAACATATTTTGTTCTAGTGAGATACTGGTAATCGACACAGCTATGAAATTTTTACACAACTTAGAAGAAGAGGTAGCGGTAATTTCTGTATACTCAACTAAAAATGTGCATTTTTATACCCGAGCGCACTTGTGCACAAGGGTATATTAATTTTGTTCACATAACGGTTGTTTGTAACAGCCAAAACGAATCGAGATAGATATAGACAAATGTATACATATATGCTCAGAATGAATAGAGAAATCGATTAAGCCATGTCTGTCTGTCCGTCCGTCTGTCTGTGCAAAAATTTAGATATCTCAACGAAATTTGGTATGTCGGTTTCTCTTAATCCAAGGTAGGTTGGTATTGAAAATGGGCGAAATCGGACAGTAACCACGCCCACTTCCCATATAACGGTAATTTCCAGAAATACGAAAACTGCGATATTTTAGTAACTACTGAAGATAATTCACTCAAAATTGATATTTGTAATAATTTTCAGACGAAAAATAAGATTATTATAATTTTTTGGAAAATTGGCGTAGCCACGCCCACTTTTGGATACATGTGTATATCTTGGTAGCCGTTGCCCCAATTTCTTCCAAACTTGGCACAGTTGTTGGCCTTGATACAGCATACTAAATGACCGAAAATTTAAAAAATCGGACAGTAACCACGCCCACATCCCATATAACGGTAATTTAGAGAAATACAAAATCTTCGATAAGTCAGTAAATATTAAAGCTAATTTATTCAAAATTGATGCTTGCGACAATCCTTTACCAAGAAATACGTTTATGATAAAATTTTGGAAAACGGGCGTGGCACCGCCCACTTATGATCACATATATGTATCTCGGTAACCGTTCTACCAATTTGTACCAAACTCGGTATGGTTATTGTGCTTGCCACATAAAAGCAAAACGCTGAAAATTATTGAAATCGGACTAAAATTACGGCTTTTAATAGAACGGTAAATTTTAGAAATGCTTGAAACTTCAATATTTCGAAATTGAAGGTCGCTAATTTACTCAAAATTGATACACCCTGGCTTACTATGTAGCGGTAGCCTTCGGAAAGGTGAAAAAACATTTATTTAATACTTGCGCCGGGTATTTAATGTTCGGCTCCGCCCGAACTTAGATTTTCTTACTTGTTTAGATTAGATATGACACTATTGAAGTAAATGAGCGATATGTATGTAAATAAAATTTTTTTTAGTTTGCCATCTCCAATATTACAAAACTATTCGTGAGGCTCTCCGTTGCATTAGCTAATTGCGTTATAAAAGTATTTTGAAAAATCCAACTTATAAACCACCAACTTGTTTCTTTCTTTTTTTCATCTATATTTCGATGGACATGTATGTGTGCGTATCGGACTCTGCGCTGGCTTTCAAAACGCTGATGCTACCGTTGCCATTGATGTTGCTGTTGATGTTCCTGTTCCTGATTTTTCTTTTATTTTTGGCATTGCTGATTGCATGTCTGCATGCAGTTAAGCCACGTTGCGAAATTGAAAGGCACGAGATCGATGACCAGGATACACTAATTTGCACAGCATTCGGAAATCCTGTAGAGGTAAGCGCACAAGCATACAAAAACATACTCCCACACACACATATTACCGCAAAACATTCACATTTACACACATATACAAACGCATAACCACACATTGGGGTATTGTGAAATACACAAATCCAAGGACTAGCTCCCTTCGAAGTTTCGCAATGCCGTCAATGGCCGCAGCAGAATATTCTGACAACCCAGGTTTTCGTAACATTTAACATACACACACACAGAGCACAGAGTCCTGCCATACACCAAACAAGCGTACGCACGCCGTAAAGTATGCAATGCATGTGTTATTTTTCGTTAACGCTGCTGATTACTACATGCGAGCGGCATCAAACTGCGAATAGTTTGAGTTCGATACACAGAAATCGGATATGTGCAAGTGAGAGTGCACTGATGCATGGAAAGTGGCAGTGAGGGACGAGCTTTACACCAGTTGTTTTGTTGTGCCCACATATTCATACATATTTGTATGTACATTTGTTTGTGAGTCTGTATGGAGGATTTCGTGTGGCTCAATGGTTGAATGGTTGTACGCCTGAATGACGGCTACTACCGGCCCCACTGGTTGCGCTGGTGCATGCTTCAGCCAACACGAGTCTTGCAACTGTTGCATGAGCTGGTATTCAAGCTGTTGTTGTTTCGGTTTATTGCTGTTGTTATTGCAATGGCAATAAAACGATAACATTTCAATTGCAGGCACCAACGCACTAACACGCCACTGCAATTTCAGGAGCACTTGAAATATACATACAAATGTATGTACATATATGCAAACATGTTTGCAGCAATGAGTAGAATTCTTGCTCACTCTTGACACTCTTTAGACACATACACGTTTGAAAATGNAAATGTATGTACATATATGCAAACATGTTTGCAGCAATGAGTAGAATTCTTGCTCACTCTTGACACTCTTTAGACACATACACGTTTGAAAATGCTCGAAAAATATAAAGGTGACGGCCACGCCGTTCAATAGTCAATTTCTCATTTCGACAAGCATGCTCTGGTATTCTCTTTCCAGGCTGAACGTAAGTACTTACATACAAATATTTATTTTACTTGCACACCTTTTCTTATTTACATATTTATGAAGCATTTATAAATTTATGATTCCTTGCATCTATGGCACATATTTACATATGGGTGTTGCCATGCAGCCGTACGCGACATTCGTACGCTTATGGAGTAACATAAATCTCCCAAAAATAGAAGTTACTTAAAAACAAGATTACGGTTATATTGCAACCCAAGGGTACTAGGTTTGAGAAAAATATAAGCAGCCTCGAAACTGTGGTGTGGAAAATATCTGTTCAAAATAAGGTGATAACGTACGCGACAAAAAAAAAAAGAAGTGTTTTTTAGGCGCATATGAATATATGCGAAAGTCTGCGAATCATTCGAGTTTTTCTTTTCTTTAAAAATTCATAAACTAAGCTAAATAATGCACTTTTACAATCCTTCCATTTTTAATAGAAATTATCTCGGCTTAGTTTTTATTACAAAAAAAAAATAACTTACGCGACAGATTTTTACCGCATACAATATTTTTACTAGTAACACATACTAAATTAAACTTTTAATTTAGTTTTTTCAGTTCTTCTCTCCGTCGTTTCGCGTTTTTAAACCCTTTTTCCGCCATCTGAATATAAAATTTCAAGCTATAAAGCCGTTTTAATTCACTTACTTGCATTTTCGGTTTACATTTTTATGGAAACACCCATATGTAAGTGCATATTTATGCAAGTACTTCACTTATAATTTACCTTAACCCTTTCCAATCAGCATTTTCTTTTTAAAAAGAAACCATCCCCTTCCAGAACTTTGTGGCCTCACTATTCAGGTCCGTAGTGCGTTGTTTGTTATGTCTGGAGATGTTGTTAACTGCGTCCACTGCGGCGTTGTAAGCGAAAAATATCAAAGAGAGCCGTCAAAAGAGGCCAATAGAATATTCGGGATCTTAACCATCATATTTGGTGTGTCATTGAGGTGATTTCATAAATGCAACTTGGTATTATTCATTCAAGTTGTAAGAATATTTTAGGGGAAATGGTATAGCTTTTCGCAGTAATAAATCGAGATACATAGATCAGAGAGATCGGCGTGGAATGACAAACTGAGGCGAAGACTCTTGACAGGTCCATCACTAGCGGCGGTTACAATTTAGATTTAGTGTTTTGGTAATTGCAGACATCTAAAGGCAAAACAACTACGGTTGTCCAAAAATGCATGTCAAAAAGTAAAGTCGGAATCTTTCTATATCGAAAAAATATACCTCTTTTTTATTTCGAAATCAAAAGTGGTTTAGAGGTCGCTCAAAGCGCTCGAAGTTTTCCATGTATTTTATATACGAAAAATACCAGTTTTCGTACGAAACCTACGACTAGATGGCAAAGCCCACCGGATCCAGCGGGGGCGTTTTGGGGGTTAAACTACGTGTCAGTCCGTGGCGGACTCACGGGAGATGTTTTAATACATAGACGACATATTATAAATACATATGCGCCATATCAAAACACCGCCTGTGGGTCCGCCACTGACTGACACGTCATTTAACCCCCAAACGCAGAACCCCCGTCCCACCCCCCTCCCCCCCTGCATCCACCACTGCCCACCGGCAATTACATATAATGGCTTTACCCATCAGTGATACGGCAATTTTTACCGCTAAAGTGTGAGGCATATCCTTGTAACCCTACCGGACGCTATAAAATGTTCGACTGCAGCAGTGATCACCTTGCGGAACTGAGAGAGCACTCATTTGAAGAAAAGTCGGTGGTAGTCGGGTGAAGTTTAGTTGACTAATATTTTAGAATTTTTCGTTCACCTGTGACCCGTTGACCAAACCAACTGCAGTGCGCAGTCAAGGACTTACCTGCTATTGGCACCAGACAAGACAAGATTTGCACTTGAGTGTGCTCGTCGTACGTTCTGACATGAAACACGGAACATACGGTGTGGAAGCTAAGGGCTGCTGGATAGCTCCGAGAAAAACCTACGGGTTCCAATACATAGAACTCTCTGTCATGGTTAATAATTCGATTCCTCAAGAATCTTTTCTGCAGGTTTTGGAAATTTCAATTCTCCTGCATAATAAAGCACTTACCGGCAAATGCGAGCATTAAAAAATTCTGTTTGAGTATCACTTAATCATCGTTGCCAATTTTATTTGTCAACAACGGTTTAAGTCAGTTCTCGTATGGCGTGACAAGGATTATAGCAATAAGATATCGCAGAACACTTTTATCGTAGCACACATGTCTACCTATTTATCTCCATTTATGAGTATACACATTCACGCCAATTGGAATTTAAATTTACTTCTCTGACTGCAAGAAATTGAGTGGATATTAAAATTTATCCGCACGCATACATTCGTACAAATTCATATACCCGTAATTGTATAAAAATATTAACACTTTTTGCAAGGCTTACTCTTAATCAAACAATCGAGTATTTATAACCAACCCACCGAAACAAGATGCACACAACACCGATAGTAATAAAAACCGTTTCGATAACAGTGACAAAAACGTTTAAATATAAATATTGCATTGCACACGTGCACACTCACTACTTATGTGCATGTTGTATGTACAAATGTGTGTAGACAAGTACACAACATAGTAGACTCGGAATTTAACCGTTTATTTGCTTATTTGTATTTATTATTATTTTTTTTATTTCAGGCGGATTTTTCATGGTCAATTAAAGCGGAAAATGACAGCGCCGAATGGCTGGGCAGTGGCGAACGGCAGGATTTCATCGACAAGAGTTTCTATGTGTTGGACGACGGTTATGCGATTGCACGCACTTATCGATGTGTCGCCAACAACACCGTCGGCCCGGGGACATTCTGTGAAATCGAAGTGGCTGGTAAGTGTCGGGTTAATAAATACGTCTACAAGATAATATAAGGTGAACACCACTCGCATACGCATTTCGATACGGCCAAAAGGGCATTTTGCTGCTGTCGGCAAATGGTCTTGTGATATGCAAATGGCCCCATAACGACTCCATCCAATGTGGGATTGCATTTAGGAAATTTAATCAGGCTTAACATTTTATGGTGAAATTTTCGTTTACTAGGGGTATATTTCCAATAAAATTATAACAAAATTATAAATATAAACATAAAAATCATACCTAGAACCAGAAAGGCAGACATTTTTTTTGTTAGCATAATACCATAAAGACATTATTATTTACTTCCACTCTAGGCACGAAGGCAGTTTAATATACGTATATAAAATCTAATAAAAAAACTTTATAATATACCATTCCTCTATAAATGCACTAAAAAATAGAAAATAGTTTTTTCTAGTCCAACAGAATTTGTCTTGATAAATTTTAATTTAAAATTTTTTGCAAACGTCATTATAAACTTTTTCCGAGATTAAAATGAAGAACGTGAAACATTTGGGATAGACTAGATTTTATGTGAAAAATAAAATATGTATATTTGTATGTTATCATATTCCTTGCCAGTATTTTCTACCGTTTTTTATGAAAATCATCGCCGATAATATCGCTATTTTTTTAACTCTTATCTGATTTTGGGAATAATTATTCTATTAAGACGTCACGTCTTTAGGATACAAATGCTATACTACAATTAGAAACTATTTCGATAGATATGAAAGTCAGAATTGTTACAGAAGATTTCTAAAGAAGAGGTAAATGTTTGAGCAAACATAATGGGAAATTTGGGATACCTTCGAGCTTACGATCACCATGCAAAATCTTTTAAGCCATTTTTCTCATTCAGTTTTCGGAAAAGAATTCTCGACCCATATCCTACGAAATTTTAACTCAACACTTAAAAAATCAGTTCCAAAAAGGTATAGTAAAAAGGCATTAACATAATACCTATGCATTGATTCGCTATGGAAAAGTGACAAATAATTTTCCGACAAAGGAGTAAGTAACTATTGGAATACGTTTTTTCGAAGAAAGGTTAATTCAATGTGGTTGTTCACACTTGCCAGGTTATCAGGTTATCTGGTTAAAAATTATTATTATGCAGTGTATTTTATTGTTGTAAACTGAATAAACAATATAACCACATAACCAGATAACCTGATAACCAAGAAAGCGTGAATATACACAATATTTTTTTTTATGAAATATGAGCAAGAAATAATGTTACTCATACGCCATGTCCGAGTATCCAAACCTTCGATCAAACTTAAAGTAAGAAGATAACAATTGATTACGCGAAAGTGATTAGTCGTAATTCTCACCGCAGTTATATAGAGACTTTTTCGCCTACAATGTAATATTTTTATCATTTTGATTAATGCATTTCATTTGACGCAATCAGAGCTCTTGCCGTTGAATTGGACGAAATTTTTAAGTTTTTCATTAATTTAACGACCCAGAAAGAATTTAACCCATTGTTGTTATCCCATTATCGGACAATGCTTTAAAATTTCAGAATGGTTGACCGACTTTTAGAAAAAAAATTCAAGAAAATCGATCAGTACGTGTTTTTGGAAATAAACATTTAAACTAAACAAGTCGTTTTTAAGTAAAAAAGAAAACCGACCTCACTTCCTATATAAAAATTTACGATTAGATACCGTTATTTTTTCATGATCAAATGATCTTATCTAAATCAAATTGATATGGGACCTCCTCTGAGGTGCCACCTTTCCTTAAAAAAAAAAAAAACAAATAATTATAGAAATCGGTTAACGTCGTCCAAAGTTATGCGGTAACATACATAAAAAAATATTTCGACGAATTGATAACCTCCTCCTTTTTGTGAAGTCGGTTTAAAAATGGAAAATTTTATAAAAAATTGAAAAAGAAAAATTAAAAAAGGTCCCAATCGGCTCAGTTTTCGCAAAGTTTTAGTTATGTAAAAAATGACTGTTTTTTCACACATAGATGTCACGAAAACGGCTAAAAAAAATTTAAAAAAAGTCAGGGAAGCCTCCCTCAATTGGTACTACAACACAAAAAAAGAATGAAAAAAATTGGAAATACAAAAGCCAAATGCTGTCCCAAGTAGGCTAGAATATCCCATATAAGGGATGTTGCGAATGTGGATATGGATATCGAATATTTTTAAGAAATGATGTATGATGACAAAACGGAAAAGTTAATTAATTTAATGATATTTAATACTTATTAACAATGCCTTTTCCGGTTATATCCTGTTTCTTAAAGGGCCGTAAGTCAAGCCTGCGCTACTAAATAACTGCTCGCTCGGAACACTTGCTGGTGGAGGCGACAAATAATTGCGCGTAAAACTTAACATTTTTTTAAATTTGATTAATTTCCCATCAGCTAAGAGGACTTTTATTTAGATATATATTTTTTTTTATTGCGGTACAAGAATAATTCTTTTTTGATTATTATTATATTGATAATTTCGGGGCTGCTAATATCACATGTATCCTACTGCCTTCATCTTCACTCGCGATAGGCTTAAAATTGTTTAGAAAATGTGTTTTTTCAAATCCAAATTCATAATCATGAATAATCTATTAGATAACAACTAAATTTTTGCCTGAATGAAAATGTAGCTGTCAAATTAGCAAACTGGCAATTAATAGCATGCAATATTTCTTCAAGTGCAAAAGTCAGCAATGAATTTTTATTGAATAACACGGAACAACTGAAAATTGACTAGTAGAAATTTATTAGGGCAACGTGTGTTTGGGGTGCTTGAACCCGCATTTTCTCAAAAATCTGACGTGGGGGAAAATTTGTATTACCAGATTCTTTTCTTCTAAACGGCTCTACGGATTTAGCCAAAAATATTTTACGCACAACCTTTGTAGCCCCAAGTCGAATCCTAAAATAAAAATTTAATAGATCAGGCCATTTAAAGTTAGTTCAGGTACCGCGTGCGGATACAATAGTAGGAAATCGGTTATTTATGTTTTGAAAAGGTTTTCTATAAACCTTTGTAATTATGATTTAATTTTTCAATATCTTCTTTTACTATATTGATAAAAAACATTCCAGAAATTATGGTTTTTGGTAGAAGATCTTTATCATAGAAGACATTTCTGTATATAAATACATATGTCCCCAATCATGTGGGGGTAAACTGTCAATTGCACGACAGATACCAAACTGCAACGTTGTTGCCGTAGAGTTGGCGTTAAAGTATTAACCGAATCCCTGTGGCTGTGGCGGTGGCACCCGTACTCCGTTTACTTGCCCCCGATTCGGCGAAACGAAACAACGAATTTTTCTTTACTTATTTGACTAAATCTGCTACTTAGTACTGCAAATATGTTGCATTAAAATGCGGATAATCTTCGATTAGGATAAAAATGAACTAAGAATTGTAAATATATATATTCTATTTTTTACTTTTTTTATTTTTTATATATTTTAATGTTGCGCGGGCCTCTAGGCTGGCGCCTATGTAGGTTATGCTCAAACGCGGCCCACCATGTTGTATGTATAATCATTTTCGCCTGTCGAGAAATAACTGAAATGAAAGCTGTAGCAGCGAAAGTATTTTTTTTTTTATTTCCCGCAAGTTAACATAGATATGTAAGTAAATAGTCATGTTACCGTCGGTAATACTTATCAACCCATTGCTGAAGTGAATGTGCAACACGCCCCGGAAGCGGTAAGAAACTATTTCTTAAACTACGATTCCCCGTTTCCCCTTATTCCTTGCCAATTTGCAGCTTATTTGCAGTTATTAATTTTAAATGGCTACTGTATAGCACTACAGTGCCGTCAATCTGCATTACCACAATTCAAGTTACTCTATTATTCTATCATTGCCACAAGCACAGTTGCAGTAACCACTGCGACTAATCAAAAAAGAGCTAAAGAGAAAAAATATCACATAAAATACAGTTCATAGACAAGAATCTGAAGGACATTTGCAGTTAGCTGAAATGGTTGGCGCTGATTACTGTCAATATTTGTTTCAGCTGGTGCTGCTACCACGGTACACACGGCCGCTTGCGGTCAACAGTCATTGCATAAGCTAAAAGCCTCCGCATCAATGCCAACAAAACAGCAACACTAAATGTTTCCCACTGAACATTTTTAAATAAATGCAGTTGATCCGCAACTACCGAATGCGGTGGTAAAGAGTAACCAGCGGTCGTGAATTCGTGCAACGACTACGATTATAACCGCCACAGCAACAAAACTAAACAATAAGCGGAAACCATGTTTAACTTTCTCCAGCCAAAGCTGGCTGGCGGCAAGGAGCCCTCCACTTGCCCGCCAACAACTAACCAGTTTTGGTGGCGGGGTTGCGTTGATATTCAATGCTTTATCCACATTCTGGTGTGCCGACATTGGCAATTAGGGAATTGTTTGGATTTTTATTATGCAGCTGACGTGTCTTACCGGTATATCCGTGAAGCTGTCCCTCACCATCGTTGCGCGTGTGCGCTGAAGCATGCCTACCCTCAGCAGCTTTTTCTAATTCAGCGGCGGGGCAATCCGCCATCTTCTGCAGTCATTGGTGGTCATCAGCGCTGCGATTATTTTTAAATTCTCAGTTCTTGCACCGCAGCGGAAACGGAAATTGGATTTGTTACTATACTCTCACGCTCACTCTTTGCCTATTGCGCTTCTGACCTGCTGCTGCCTTTTACAGCTTTTCAACATTTCAGCATCGCCTTTTACCATGGAGAATCAATTTCTTAGCAGAGTATTTTTTAAGCCGCTTATGTTGCAATGTTTTTACCGGATTTCTGTTTCACACCAATCCATTGGGAAGTTAAAGAATGAAATGACTGCAGAGAATCCTGAAACTACAATTGCGGCTGCAGCAACTGTGAATTGTGTAGTAGATTTTCTTTTGTGTTCTTTTTGGTTTGAAAATTAGGATGGTAGCTTTTTGCGAATTAAGAAGATTTTGACTTGAATTTAAAAAAATTTGT